GCGGGATGTACGCCGGGAGGAAGAGGAAGAAGCCGGTGCCGAAGAGGTGGGTGCAGGGAGGGGGGTGTCGGGCGTGCTCCGGGGAAGCTGTTTCCCCCGGTAACACCCGGGGGCGGCAGCTTGGCAGCAGCTGGGAAGGTGGAGGAAGCTGGGGCAGGTGTGTGGGATCGGGCAGGGTGGCAGAAAACCGGTCTGCGAGAGCCAAGCTGGTTGCGGGGAACTGCGTTAAGCTGCTCTGATGAGAGCATTGAAGAAGCAGAAGAGAGAGAGACAGCATGCTTGGGCTACTCTGTTTTAATTAGGGTTAATTGGAGCTAATGCTTTGTAGGCTCTGGCATGCTGGTGAAAAAATAAAAATCTCAACCATGATTGTCCTGCATCCCCAGTGTTGCTGTGAGGAAGCTCGTTGGGGAGTTTGAGATGCTCAGCTGTTCTCTGGTTTGAGTTGCGGGGTGGCTTATGTTTCAGCACCTGTGTAAATCAAACATACAGCAATTACTATTTACCGAAAGAGTCCTATTCCCTATTAATTAATTAGCATGCTGCTCAACAGCTGTTGCATAATGCCCCCCTGATGTGTCCCTGGAGTTTCCTGGCTTTGGGACCCCCATGCCTCCCCCCATAACCAGCTCTGAAGTCGCACCAGCCTGTTGACCTCAGGTTACCAAGTGTATAGGAAATAAAGGTGTATATATATTTCTGGGAGGCAGTGGGGGGAAGCAGATGAGCTGAACCCAAGCCTGGGATGAAGGAGGGAGCAGCAATGTTCCAGATGCATGGTGAGATGTTAAGCTGAGCCCAAGCCTGGGATGAAGGAGGGAGCATCAACATTATAAATCTGTGGTGAGAAGCTGAGCCAGAGCCTCTCTTGGGTTTTTATTAGGGAGTGTTAAAGAAGTGTGAAAACGCAAAGGGTAGTTGCTCTGCCTCAAAACTTTCTCCTGCTCAACTCAGAGCAGCGATTCCAGCCCCGTGGTGGGGCTGGTGTGGCCAGCCTGAGGGTTTGGGCTGGATTCATGTGGCTCAGGGCACGGGAGAAGGCCTCTCTTTGGAGCAAAGGGGACCTCGATCCCTGGTACTGCAGGGCCAACCTCAGGAATCGAAAGAGATTATTTTCTTCTGTGACTGGGCAGATCTTGCAGCAGGGTCCTACTGGGAGAGGCCAGGCGGAGCAGGGCTGGGAGCAGCGGGATGTGCGGCCAGCCGGGTGGGGAGGGAAGGATGGGGTTAGGGAGTTCTCTGGTCCCTCTGCAGTTTGTTCAGGGCTTTTTACTTATTAAAAAAATTAATAAAAATTGGGAGACAATATATCGGCTCAGGCAACTTCAGCTGTTGTTAATAGCTAATATCACTCGGTACTTGCCAGCTTGCAAAAGTGGTAAACTTCCTGCTGGGTTCCCCGTTCAAAGGGCAGCTGAGGAAAAACAACACTGCAGCAGTGGTGCAGCCTTTGCCCCACTGGGAGCAGAGCTTTCCTCTGCGGCTTTGCTCCAAGCCCGTCTACACAGGGATCAGCAGCTTTTCTCAGCAGCTTCACCGCAAACTCTGTGGCACGGCCGTGCTGAGCTTTGTATTGTATCCGTTTTGTAAGACTATGCCACATTTAGAGCTCTTGCAAACAGGATAGGGGCTCAGACCTCTTTAAAATGCTTTTTTCTTGCTTGTTGCATAGGTGTTGAGCTGCTTCATTGAACGCCAGGGTTTGGTGTGTTGTGCTCGGGTAGCAGCGCTCCCCAGGACAGCTTTGCCTGGTGCCTGGGGCTGGCAGAGACTGCCAGAGCTTCGCCCTGCAAAGAGGGGGCAGCTGGGCAGTGGGGATGGAGACAGTCCTAAAGGCAGGGAATTTAAACAGATTTTAAACATCTTAGACCAAGCTTCACTCTTTCTGTGAGTGGGGGAAACGTCATTTGCTGCGGTGCTCACCTGTACAGATTCTCTGGTGGCTAATAACGTGATTGTGCCCCAGGCCAATGCCTTTTCCTTGCTAAGTGTGTACGATGGGGGCTGGTGGTTTTCCTGGCCCTGCCTGCTGGCTTGCACAGACCTCAAGGGAGCTTCATAACTGCCTGGCAGAGAGTGAAAAAATTTGTCAGAGATGAGCACCTGGAAGCTGTTTCCCTGTGACATCCCTGAGGATGGAGAACTGTGAAGCCTCTGGCCCTGGGAGTTCCTGGGTGCAGCGTTTGCCCATGGAGATGGGCTGCCAAAAGAGCTGCCTGGCATCACCAGAGCCCTTTTCCCTTTTTGTCATCCTTCCCCTCGAGGGTGGCCATGAAGCGTGTTGTGTGCTGCAGCTGGGGACATGCAGGATCAGAGATGTTGGGGTGCCCTCCTTTAGCCTTGTGGAGCTTTGCTGCTGGCTGTGTCACCCCACATGTCTCAGCCAGAGCACTTTCAGCGCTTGGCTGGACTATCCAAGAGACCCTGTTACACCTCTGTGTTTTACCCACTCCTATAAAGAGCACCACTCCTTGCTCATATCCAGTCTCATTTTCTCTTCTTTCTGGCTGTTTGTTGGCTAGATTTGGATAGTGAGTGGGCAGAGGACTGTTCTTTAAAGGATATCTGAGGAAACCCAGAATAATTTTCTTTACCTTTCTCTTTTTTTTTTCTTTTTTATCAGAGAGAAAGTCAAAGGAAAACTATTTCATTTTTTCCTTCCTGATGAGTGACTGTGATTTCAAAAGTGTTTAAGCCACTGGCTAATGGAGTACATAAAAGCACCAGTGCCAGTGTGTCTTGCCCAGCCTATATGGACAGGTTTGGTGATGAGTTGTACCCAACCACCTAGAGAAGCAGGGTATATCCTTCCCAATGCTTATGTTATAAAACAGCATGATTGAGCTTTTCCGGAGAAATGCTACAATTTTCCATCTGTGCTGAGAAGACCCCTTGGTAGCTCTCTGCAATAAAAATTCAACAGGCACCTTACGCATTTCATTTAATACTCATTTCCTCTCTTGTCACACATGTGAGCAGTCCTGCCAGATGAGATTTGAGAGTGGTAGTAGAGGGGAGAGCTTAAATTGCTGCTAAATACTGGCAGATCCTGTTATCCGAAGCTGCTTTATGAAGCAAGGATGCCTGTGGAGACTGAGTTTGTGGTTAGACAAATTACATCAAAACAGTATGAGTTGCATGTTAGGGGATGCAATCTAGTCAAATATAGAGGGAGAGTCTGAAGGGTTTTTCTTCAAGCTAGAAAATTCAAATTGACATTAAAAACCAAAGGAGACAAGGTGACATCTCAGACTCATTAAAGCCATTAACTAACCTCTTACTGTTGTGACTGGGACTTCAGTTACAGCTTGTGAAATAACTGCAGCTGATGGAGACAGGTCCCCATATGAGCTTAAGATAGACGAGCTGCTCTCATGGACCCTACTCCTTCTGCAGACTGAAGGTTGGTCTCAGAGCCTAAGTTTGGCATCAGATATTGGTTTAGGTTGGAAATGCCCATCTGAAAGGATCAGAAATCAGAAGATTGGAAGAAAGTAAATTCTAAAAATCTACTGTTTTCTAAGTGCTGTTCCCTAACCACCCTATGTAGTATCTCTTTGTCCAAGTGCTGTCATTGTCTTTCACTTGTGCTTCTTTTTGTAATGTTAGTAAGTAAGGCAATGGATTCAGGCTCTGAGCAGTCAGAGGAAACTTAGAAGAAGCTAACTGAAATAAATTCAAATAAACAAATCATTTTGGACCTTCCCACTTTCCATTCTTGCTATCTGTTAGCGTGCTCATTGCCAAGGACTACTCTGAATCCTCTGAGCAAATCAAGGTAGTGCTTGCCATGGTGAGGACCTGGTGTGAGCATGTGGAGCATGGCCAGGGAGGGACCTGCTGCTTGGGAGGGGTATGAGATGAGGAAGAAGAGGAGAAAGGGCGGACAGAGCAGAGTGTGGGTGGAAAAGTCTAACCAGACCTCCAAGAGATGCTCTGATGGCTTGTAGATCTCTGCCCTTGGTGTCCCTTTCCTTGCTAGGGCTCAGTGGTGGGAGCAAGGCTGTAGTATCGAGCTGAGCTGTCTCAGCCAGGCTGCATGTTAAGGTGCTCATCTGAGGATCACCCCACACTCCAGCTGGAGAACATCACAGCCTGAGGCTGCACAAGGTGGCCAGCTGGGATGGCCATGTCTCCTCCATCCATTGGCTTGTGGGCTTGCTGGAGCTTGCTCCTGCTGCTGCCTGGCCTTACCTTGGCCATTTGATGTTTTACTGTTGTTGCGGCTGCACTAAAGTCAACACTGGGTTTGGAAAGAGCCTGTCAGGTGGGCCCAGTTTGATTAAACTCTCCTTTGCCTCTTCCAGCCCCAAACCACCACCCCCTGAGGGTGTGAAGTCCAACCCCTCCAAGCGGCATAGAGACAGACTCAACCAGGAGCTGAACAAACTGACTGGCTTGCTGCCCTTCCCCGAAGATGTACGCACCAGGCTCGATAAACTCTCCATTCTCCGACTGGCTGTTGGATACCTGAAGGTGAAGAGCTACTTGATGGGTAAGTGTCCGTGTTGCAAGGGGCAAAAAGCTTCATCCCCACTGCATGGCTCACATCCCACCCCAAGCCATGTTTGCCTTGAGATGGAGAGTTGTGTCTCCTGAAGGTAGGATGATGATGAGTTGTGGTATCAGACCCTTGTTTGTTAATGCATCAGTGTTGGATCTTTAGCGGAGGTACTGGCCTGAAAATGCCCCGGAAAACCGGGGAGGAAAGTACCTTGTCTCCAGAAGTGTGGAGGAGTGGGCAATGGTTGCTGAGAGGTGCTATGCTCATGTGACATCTACCCCTCAGACCTTTAGCTGCCATGACACAGATTTTATCCATCTCCCCTCTCAAAGGAATCCCCTTCATTTTTGGATACCGCACACCCAAATCTAATCCTCTTCAGTCAGTTGTGGGTGCTTGGTGTCTCGGAAAAGCAACATCCTTGGGGAAGTGAGACCACCTAGTTCAGTCGTGGAAACTGAGTCGCAGAGGTGGAGAGCAGGCAGGTGAGCGATTCGGGAGAGGCTGGGGGGGGAGGTCAGGAGCAGCACAGGGAGCAGAGGACCTTGGCCTCGTCAGTTTTGGAGGGGGTGTTTGACAGAGAAATGGCACTGTGGATGGAGGGGAGCAGTTGGGTGCCTGCCCAGCAGCTGACACCTCCTGCAAAGCTCCTCCATCTACTTCTCATTAGCAGCCATGCCACCCCTCCTTTATGTCCCAAAACCCTTCTGTGTCCCACTCTTGCCAGCCTGTGGTCAAGGGACCAATAGTTAAAACAGTGTGCATCTTGCTGAACAGCCATGTTTCCCTCATCTAGTTGCAACTGCAGTTTATAATTAAATTAAACTGAAAATCCCCAGGATCTGTGGGCTGCTGTGTGTCTCCTGGGCAGGCGGGGGTAGGAGGTGTTGCACAGGGTTGCTCTGTTGAGGGTGGCAGGTTAGCCAAGGCTGCTCCTAAGGCCCTTGTTTGGTTTGGCATCCCATCAGCTCATTTTTCTCCCCTTTCTTCCTTGGCAGGGGGGTCTCATATGTTGGTGGTTTACTGCTGCGCTTGCCACCCTGGCCCCACTGCAGTCAGCTGTGGTGGGTCTATTATACTTCTCTAATGAGCATTTCTATGAGATTGAGGGTGATGCCTCATACCCAGAGACTTGCAGGATGGAGGGTTGAGCTGATGCGCCTGGAAAACTGGTCTCCTTGTGTTTGCCTCCCTGCAGCCCTGCTGCTGTGGAGACCCTGGTACAGGGCAGCAACCGCAGTGGGAGAGTGATTATGGCTGGACATTGCTGCTTTTTTGCTTCCACTCTTGGCACCAGGGGCTTTTTGGTGTGTTTCTGCTCCCATGTGCATGTAGCTCCCTTCCTCCTGTTTGCAGGTCACAGCTGTGATTGCCCTCTGGATTTTCAGCAGTCGTTGATGTATCCGAGATAGTTACTGCTGGTGAAAATACTTGTGCTGGGAGCTCCAAAATTACTGTGCAGACCTTGGGTTTGAGGACCAGGGATCCTTCGTACACACTACACATCACCTGATGGGGTGCCACCTTTATGAGCAAGAAAAATACTGCAAAGAGGAGGCCAGCTGAGCTACCCTAGGTGCACAGACCTGCTGGCCACCCTCTTGCCCCAGCCATAGCCCAGGGAAGTTTTGTGCTGATGTGCTCATGCCATAGCCTGCTGAGGAGCCTCTCCCAGGCCCAGGAGCTGCAGATCGTTCAGCTCCTACTCCTGAAGTGGTAGGTCACGCATGGGGCTGCAATGGTGGGATCTCTCTGGCAGAGCTGGTTTCTCAGGTGGGAACCAGAGCAGCTCCCTCCTGCTCCTCCAACTCCCATCCCTGGGGCAGTGTTGGAGCATCACAACAGTCTGTTGCCTCTGCAAAGGACTTGAGGGTGGCTGGTGGACCACTCAGTGTGGCTGTGAGTGTGATAGACCCTCGTTCTCGCTCTGGAGATGCTGGCTGTTTGGCCCCAGGCACTGGCCTGACCTCTCTTGTGGTGTTAGCTGTTCCTTGGGCACCTCTGGCACAACTTCCTAAGTGCTGATGGCTGCTGAAGGCTTTGCTGACTCTGTGCTGGTACCAGCTGACTGTGGCTGAGTCAGAAAGGCTGTGACTGGGGAGGTCCTTCCTTGGAGCAGGACCCCAAAGGATATGATGGGGGTGTGAAGAGGCACTTTGCCGCAGAGGGAAAATGTCTTGTGCTGGCTGCCTTTGCACAAGCGGGTTGATTGCTGCATGCACAGCATTGGATGTGCTTTGGATGCTGTTGGGCCTCAAAGGCAAGGCTGAACTGACAGCAATCCTTGCTGAGGTCTCTTCCTCCACTGTCTGCTTTTTGGGGGACAAACCTGGGAAATAGGATTCAGTCCCTGCCTGTCTGAGATGCAGGGTGGGTAGCTGGGTAGGCAGCCTAATGCCATGATGGCAAGATGTGATGATTTGGGGATGTGACATGTCCTTCTATCCAAGGTGGTGCTGGCATAGCATTAACCTGCATTGCTTTCTCCATGGACATTCAGAGAAAGGCAGCAATCAGCCCTCCTTACTGATACAGCCAGACTCTGCGGCACCCAGCACATGTCTGGGCTAAGAGGGGAAAATGGGGGTGCAGAGCCTGGCTGGAAGGGTAGTCACAACACTCCAGCAGGACATGAACTGCAGGCTGCAGTGCAAATAAAGCCTGAAAGGCTGCCAGGGATTGCTTTCATAACCCACTTACAAAAGTGGTTGCTGGAACACCACGGAGCAGTGCTTGAGGGCTGGGATGACTCCTGCAGCTGGGGGAGGCACGGACTGGTGTGTGTGCATGGCATGGCATGGAGAGAGGGTCAGGATGTATGGACAGGGACATGTTTCATCTCCAGTGCCTTGGGCTTGATGGAATGGGTGATGGACCCTGGTGAAGGCAGAGCATGTGGAGGGCAGGAAGCCATCAGCATCTTTCTATACTTCGAGGCTCCTATGACGTCTTCTTCCCCTGAGAGTGAATAAACTTGGCTCCCTTAGCTTTTGCCCCGTACCCAGTCCCTTGGGGCTCTCCCAGGGCCCTCTCCAGCTGGGGATGCTGGTCCCCAGGAGGGGACCCCTATGCCAAGCTCTCCAGCTGGGACCCCTGCCTCCAAGCAGGAGTGGTTCCCACTGGTTGTGCTCAGCATGTGCTTCCCAGTGTGAGAGCTGCTTTGGAAAAGCAATCATCATTGAATGGGTTCATGTTTGGTGACAGCCTTGCCCCTCCTTGGAGACCTGTTCTGCCAGGCCAATTACTCCCATTTTTCCACTATGCCTGTGATTTCCAGCTCCCTCCCCTTGCTTTGCCCGTGTCTGCCCTGAAGTTCATCTTGTTTGACTTCAGATCATCCCACCGATTCATCAAGGTCGACCTCAGTTCGAGCCCTGCCTGATGAAGACCCATGTCATCTGCAAGTCACAGCAGCCTGCTCATGGTGTATCACATCAGGTGTTTTGGGGCGAGATGGTGAAAGCCCTTGTGCTGTGCTTTCCGGTTCAGTTTTGCTGTCGTCTGCTTTCTGCTTCGTGCAGGCTCCTCTCCTGCAGCAGGAGAGCATGGCATTGTCTGGTGAGCATCCCTGTCCTCTGCTGCCTCAACCTCTCTCCATCAGCAGCCCAAGCCCATTGTCTTGTCTCCAGGCAGCTTTAATTGGTGCCAATTCAAGCATTTCTATTGAGTCTGGGCACTTGCCCTTTCTCCTAGGCAAAGGGTTAATAGAATCTATGTGGAGCCAAAGTATGTGGTTATAACCAGTCTGTCAGGGAGGTGGATGCTGGCAGGTGACCCTGGACGAATGTCTGCCTGGGCTGTGCCACAGGTTAAAAGTAAAAATCTCATGTACTGCTAGAGATGGTTCTTGCAAGAAACGCAGCATGTGCCAAAAAGCCCATCCGAGGCTCTGTGTCCTCTTGGCTTCATGTCTTTGGAGCAGACATTCAAGTCTTCGGGGCAGGAAAGGCAGGAGGAATTAGCTGCTGCCCACTGTTTGGTGTCCTTCTGCTACATGGCTTTTTTTGGAAACTATCTCAGGAAGACTCTGCAGAGGTGACAGGTCTTTGGCTGGTTTCTTCTTGGGGGTGGTGGTGGTGGAAGGATCCACACACCTTCCTCTCCAGATGGAGAGGGTTAAACTGTCCTGCAGAGTGTGCAACACCCACCTGAGTTATCAGTGGAAGTTCACTGGTGTTTGGCCTGAGTTGAGCTGGCCAGGCTTTGTGCTGGTGTCCAGAAGCTCACTTTGGCCGTGACAGGTTTGTGTGCGGGCTGAGCTTGTCTGACTGCAGCTCTTGGTCGGAGCTGTTGAGTTATCTCATTTTGACCTGCTGCAAGGCCACCTGAAGCAGGAAAACCAGCACACAGGCTTCCCTGGACAGCTTCAGAGACCTGTGTAGGTCCAGCATGTGGGTTTTGCTGATAACTTCCCAGGAACATCAGGTTTTCCTGGAGCCTTCCCCTCTGATGCCAGTGGACAGGGCTGCAGTAACCAGCAGGCTCATAAAAATGCACGTGGCACCTGTGGTGCTGGCCCAGGTCAGTATAAATCACCTGCCATGCAGATGCCATGAACAAGCAGCAGCTGGTGGAAAAGGATCTGTTTTAGAAATGTTTTATAAGACCTCCTCTAGGCAGGACAGAAATGGTATCAACTTCTGTGGATGGGCTGAAAGCTCAGCAGGGATGGTTAGTGTTTTCTGACAAGCTCTACAGCTTTTCTGATCTTTTTCTGATCTTGTGCTGGTTTGGGGGTTGACTGTTCTTCATGGAAAAAATGACCAATTCCTGGTGTTTCCACCCATTTGCATCTCAGACCAAGCATGGGTCTCACTTTGAGGGAATGAGACCAGCTACGATTTTGCACATTGGATTTAGAGCTGGATTTGCACAGATTTTTGTGCATGCTGTAAATGTTTGCACAGTAACTTTTGTAAGGTTGCTTTATCTGATGGACAAAGCAAACAGGATTTGTGATGTGTTCATGTTAAAAGCTCAGTCATTTAGAG